GGAGTCGTGGACAAGGCAAAGACAGGGAGACCACAACATGCTCATGCAGACATAGGGTTAGAGGTCAGTGCGGCCCCCACGGCCCGTTCCACAAGTTAAGGCATCATGGTTAGACAGAACCGACAGCGAGGGATGAACCGGCGGGGGTGGGGCTGGAGAGCGGCGCCAAGGGGCCCTGCCCGGCAGCCCAGCTCCACGCAGGGCGGGAGGGTGTGGCCCCCGCACGATGCTCTGCTCCCTCGAGAGCCAGGGCCTCAGGCATGACAGCTAGAGGGGACCCGGAGGGACCCAGAAAGGGCAGCAGAGGCCGGGCCGGAGCCTCTCTCCTCCAAAGCACGGGCAGAAGCAGCAACAAGACACGAGACCACCGAGGAGGCTGGGGGGCCTGTGAGCTGGAGAGCTGGGGGTTGCGGGCGGAGGAGCTCCGTCCGGCTGGGCCAGACCCAGGGGCAGACCAGGGTGAAGTGATGGCCGGGGAGGGGCCCTGTCAGCACTTTGGTATGGAGTGGGGAGGGGCTGGGGTGGAGATGGGGCAAGTGCGTCCGTCCGCCTGTCCTTCCGCCTGCCCGCCTCCCAGGCTGGGGCTCAGTCCTTCCACTCCTTTTTGATGGTGAGATTCCACTCCCAGGAAAGGTGGTCAGTCTTGTCGTCGTCTGTGAAGCGGGACTTGATCTTGTAGCTGCCGCGAGCCAGCATGCCCTTGGGCGCCTCCTCCACGGGGGTCAGGAACTCATACTCCTCTGCCCGGGGCCCGTAGCTCCCCACCATGTAGTCGGTCTTGTCGATCTTGAAGCCTTTCCTGTACGTGAGCTGGATGTACTTCATGCCGGACACAATCTGCCTGTTCACCCGGAATGAGATTTTTATCCGGTATTCCACACCCTCCTTCAGCACAAAGAACTGCTTCTTGAAGCTCTCCAGATCACCTGTCAGGTCCAGCTCCAGGGGGCCCGGGGCTGAGGTGCACACCAGGGTCAGGCGGGTCACGATGACGTTGGGGACGTTGGGGTCTGCAGAAACGGCCACTCGGCCCAGCAGGGCCTCCTTGTACTTGCGCAGGCTCTCGTCGTCCTTGTCCAGCTCCTGGATCTCCTGGATGCTCTTCTGGGCTGGGGGCTTGTAGTTGACCGGGTGCTCGTCCTCAGTCTCAGCCTCAGTCTGTGCCAGCTGCTCGGCCCCAGGCTCCTGCTCAGCCATGGTCGCCTCTAGCCTGGGGCTGTGACGCTGAGGGTGGGCCGCGCGGCTCTCGCTCCCTCCCGCACCCAGCGACGAACGTCACCCGCCCGTCTGTCACCTTCCTTTTCCTTTTTCTTCTGAACCCTTTAAAAATATAAAAACCATTGTTAGCTCCCAGGTTGTACAAAAACACGTTGTATGCTGGATTTGGCCCATAAGTCATAGATTGTCACAGGTCAGTGAACTAGCTAATATAACCTCCCATTTACAGAAGGGTTAGCTCGCATTAGGTCACACAGATAGTAAATGTATTGTCTTGGATTGTAATAAGTTCCTGTAAGATTCCAAAACCTTTTATTCTTTCCATGGGTCTAATTCCTTGTCAGACTTTCTCCTTTATGCTGATGGTTTTATTTTATTTTCACAAATGAGGAGTGATCCTAGGTAACAATGTAACTTGTCAACTGATTATTGTTAGAAAGAATATCTCACCATTGATTTGCTAAAACTGAAATCATTGTATTTGACTAACATTTCCCATTGTTTTACTAATTAATCTAATAAATATTTATTGAAGGTCTACCATGTCCTAAACACTATGCTAGGATATGGAGCTATGACTGTGCATAAGACAGACTTGTTCCTTCTGCTTAGAGATCACTATCCAGCAGGGAAAACAGACTTTAAACAAATAATTGAACAATGAAATGCAGTTGTGATAATTGCTCCAAAGGAGAGGTCAGGTTGCTGTGGATTACTAGTATTCTCCCCACGTAATAGTCAGTGTAGAGCCAGGGGTATGTGGGTGCAGGGCAAAGTACACGGAGTTGAGAAGAGAGGTTGGATTAAGGGCCACGTGATTCACTGAATTACCTTACCATTATCTATTACATTCAGAAATACTCAGCTGTTTTCATTAAAGAGTCAAGCCTCCCAATATTGAAAAGGGTAATTTAATATGATGACTGTACCTTTCGCTCAGTAATTCTCTAACATTGGTGTAAGAGCTTAGCAAAGGGAAGGACTTATTAAATATGCCAGTTTCTAGACCTCCTCCCAGAAAGTCTGGTTTAGGATGGGGCCCAGGAAGACGCATGTTTGTTGAGCCCTCCATATGATTCTGAAGTAGGCTGTCCATGATCTGTATACTTTTGATAAATAACTACTCAACATAGAAGGCTACATTTGTTATATTGGTCTTTGTTTCTCAGTCCCCCAGGAAGGAATGTAACAGCTACTTCTTAGGACCCTATTTTCTTAAATTTATTTCAGGATATTATGGGGGTACAAACATTTTGGTTACATGCTATGACTTTGCCACAACCAAACCATGATTTGAGGCGTGCCTTTTTCCTCTCTACCACGCTCATTGCATCCATTAGTTGTGAGCTTACTCACCTCCAACCCCCTCAATCCCTGAAGACTATTACTACTGTGTGAACACCATATTCTTAAGGAAGCAGACCCATCTCCAACATTTGTTAAATCTTGGTCTTCATGGTCTTATTTGCCTCCAGCTAGTATGCATTGTGCTCCTCCTCCTCTATCTTGACCTTCTGAGGTATGCTTGGGTTTTCTTGTTGTGTTATCTTACCTTGATTTATGTCGTTTTTTCCCCTTTCCAGTCATGACCTTTGTTGAATGTTGGCTTCCACAGAAATATTACCAAAGCAATGAGTGACAAGGCAAAGCTTAATTTATTCTTACCATGGTAAGGAGAGCACTGCATTGACAGTGTCTTAGCATCTCAGAGGGAGTGGGACAAAGACAGGCTATTCATGAACATTCTGAAGTCTAGGGTAAGCCTGGTCTTTCAATATGGGGACTTGATTAGAATTGGGTAAGGAAGTGGTACAATAGTTTAACATTGGTAGATTTTGAGTTAAGCGGTTCAAGTAGTCTGGGGATGTAAACACTTGTTCATGCTTTTTATTGAAGTGTTGATGTGTCTTTCATGAAATTCCTGGAATGAACAAAAAGTTATTTTCAACTTTTGTCTTCCCGGGCAGGGGCAAGACTTTCCTGGAATAGTAAATTTACATTCTTGATAACAGTGGAATAATAAAGACATATAAATGTAGAAAGCAAGTTGTGTGGGTCAAGATGGTTTTGGCTCTCACTTTTTTGAATAAAAATGATTCTAATTTTATGGATTTTCCATTAATTTTTTTATTGTTTTAATTTTAGTGGTATAAATGAAAGCATTCCTCCCCTCCCCCAGCAAAGTCTTGAGTTTGTTATATTTCCTGGATTCTTTCATGTTTGAGAATATTTTTTTCTTTTTTTAATGTGTAAAACATTTTGGTGGGTTATGATGTTCTTAGGGGACACTTTCTTTCCCTCAGAAAGAAACACCAAAATATTATTTCCAACATTTTTTAATGTATACTTAGTTATAGGAGATAGAAATATTTTTTTAATAGTCAGATTATACCCACTACTTCTTAAATGAAAAGTTCAGAATTTAAGTTCACATAATCTTAAAGGAAGAAACAAATAGATAAAACTGAAATAATGGCTAAATTTAAATAAACAGCTCTCCACCAAAAGATATATGATTTTGTAAAGGATCCAAGTTAACAATAAAAGCCTATTTTTAAAAACGCCAAGACAATGAAGTAATTTTTAAATGATTTGTTTCATTTTTTTGTGTTATGTTTTATTTAACTACTAAGAAAAATGAGAATATTTGTACTCTTACATTTACCCCCTTCTCCCTTTCTTCCTTCTGCTGATATTTTAGGTGAAATTACCATTTTCATGTTTTCAAGCATATGACATTTCAATTCTGTTCTGGAATCAAAAGTCTTATCTCCAGTTGTTTCTCTGCAGTTTTTCTAAGAATATTTTTATTTTTATTCATTTCTTGGTTGGTTAGATTTCAATGTCATGTGTGGTTTTTTGTTTTTATTCCAGAAAGGTTCATAGATACCGTGTTCCTGAGGTCTTGCACATGTGAAGATATCTCTTACTTTTATATTTGAAGAAATTTAGCAGCATATAAACTTCTTGGATTATATTTCTTCAATACCCTATAGATATTAGATTTCTTTCACTCAGACACTCGCTGCATTGCCTTCCAGAATAACAAGCAGATGTCTGAGGTCAATTTGACTTTTTCCCTCCTTGTAGTGGCTTGGTTTTTTCCCTTGGGTGATTGAAGTATTATTTCTTTGTCCTTGAAATTCAATAATTTAACTAGGCTATATTAGAAAATGTGTTCATTTTCACCTAAACCATTTAATCAATAGTCTGCAAAAGATTTTACTACTTCCCTCATCACCCCCTACCCATGATGGTCATCAGGAAGAAAAACTATATAGGAAACTCTCTCTTCTTAACTTAAAAAGCATATTACTATCCATTGAAATGAGAGATGCAAAAGGTGACCAGCATTCCATAATTGAGTTATTCATTTAACCAATAGCATCTGCTATGCATTTGCCAGAATCTATTCTAGGTGAACTAGGCAGATAATGTTCCTGCTCTTATGTAGCATCTAAATTTACTGCACTATCCACTGTTAGTTGCACATATTTTGCATATTGAGGCTTTTAGGTAGGTGTAGGGCTCACTTTTTTGATTTTTCTGAGATAAGGTCTCATTCTGTCACCCAGGTTGGAGTACAGTGGCATCATGATAGCTCACTGCGACCTCAAACTTTTGGGCTCAAATGATCTTCCTGCCTTAGCCTCCCAAGTAGCTGGGATTACAGGCATGTGCCATGACACTTGGCTTATTTTTGTATTTTTTTTTATAGAGATGGGGGGTCTCTCAGGCTAGTCTCAAATTCTTGGCTTTAAGAGATCCTCCCACCTTGGCCTCCCAAAGTACTAGGATTACAGGTGCGAGCCACTGTGCCTAGCCTCAACTGTCTTATTTATGGATGCCATTATCTTTTTATATATTGGAGACATTTCTATGCTATGTGCCACCTCATAATAGAGGAGGCAGGTTGCAGAATCCTGGGCATATTTAGAGCCACCACACAAATATATGACATAGGCTTTACTAATTATGTGTACTAGAGTGAGACTTCAATGTGGAAGTGAGAGAAGAGGAAAAAGGTTTTGCTTGGAGCTTCTGCCATTTTGCTGGCAGTACTGGTGTTTGGCTTTCTTTGGTGACCAGAGCAGAAACAGTAGGAATTTTTCATCAGTTCCAAGGTTGACTTTTTTTGTTACTTGGTAGATTAGCAGCAGTAGTGGTGATTTTGTCACTGGATCAATTTTGTTGTGTACTTTTGGGCATTATTCCTAGAAGATCGGTCTCATTTTGGTTTTTCAGGCCTATCCAAATTCAGACATACCCAAAGCCTTTTATTAAAATAATTTGCTGCATAATTGGGAGATTCAGCTAAAAGTATGAACTGATATAAGATGCTTATACAATGGATTTTTTTGTTTTGTTTTCAGTAATTCTATTGGATTAGTCTTTTTGTTTTGCCCTTTTCTCCTATCTAGTCATTCTGTTTTCTTCAATACTCTACCTTCATTGGAGTAAAGTTTAATTTCATATTGTAATTGGTGTCTTTTCTCTAACAGATTGCTTGTGTTTCTTCTATTGAGTCTCAGATTTCTTACACAAGATTTTTTTTTTTTAATATTTCTTTAAACACTTAAAGTTTTGATCAGGAAAACAAAAATCTCTTTTAGAAAATGAATATTGAGAGACTCAAAATTTTTATAAACACTTCTGTGCCTAGTTATAAATTTGTAATCGATGGTATATGTTTAACATTATTTGTTACAGAAAATATAAACTACATTTTTAAAAGATTATGAAAATAAACATGAATCCATATAATTCTTATCAAGAGCGACTTCCTATCTGCAACCTGTGATTGCCTACATGTATAAAATAGCAGGTATGGTCATCATACGGTTACTTGATGTTACTGTAACTGGATTATTGAATGAAGAGTAATCAATTGTGTGCACTCAGGAACAGTTATTATTCTTCTCTTACTGCTGCCTTTAAAACATGAAATTGCCAATCCTTCTTCCTTCCCTTAATGACATTTTAGGATATGTTCATAGCTTTTCTAGTTACTTTGATCTAAAAGGAAGTACTCATCTTCAGGTATCAAAGGTCCCAATCATATCTAAATCCATACT